TTACAAAAAAACAAAGCATCCTTTCTTATAGATATTTATCATCCAAGTTATTTTGGATAATGATTATTTTCCATTCGATATTTAGATTAGGTGTTTTAAATAATTTTTTGTTATTATAGTTTTCATCTTCTAATATTTGGTGTTTGCAATCCTATTAAACTTTGACTAGTCATGAACTCCAGTTAAATCGCTTGAATTATAGATATAAATGTAGCTAATAAATATAATATTATAAGTATTATAATAAGGACAATGCATTTATCATGTTATTGAAGATGAGGAAAGTTTTCTACACACTCAAATTCATGATGGGGCTCACACATAAAAAAACAAAAAAATTATTGCACACAAAAGAATTCCCACTAATATGAGAAGAGCTCTCCTATAATATGAGAACTCTTTTTCCCTTATAATAAGGGGGTAGGATATTGTAACAACCAATTAGGGTGTTACTACCAATCAATTTCACCATTAGATCGATTATGTTGATCCAACCATTGTATTTATTTTCATCTTTGTATGGTTATGATTTCCCTTTTTTGAAATTTACACCATCTTCACCGAAAAAACAAACTTGTTCATTGTGGTGATCTAAATTTTTTTTTTTTTTTTTTTATATTATGCCCCTTTAATTCCGTATAAACTAATTTAGAGTCAGTCTAAGCTTAAAGTTTTAAACTCCTCCTAAAATGTTTCATCTTAACCGTTCAACTCCTCCACCACCACAACCCAATGTCTCGCCGCCATGAATAGTTGTCTCCGGCACCATTGCAACCAACTCCTGTTGTAGCTTCAGGAAGAGGCCGCGACCGTGGACGCTATGGTGGCACTAACGTTGCTGATTCTCCCTCGGCATATGCACCTCTGTCGTCGTCCGCTGCTCCTCCCGCACATGCGCCATCGTCGTTGTCTGCTCATACTGATCTGGCACCAGTGATTGGTTCTCCAACCGTTTCTATGCCTGTTGCCGCCTCAACTTCGTCGACTCCGCAGGCATCTTTATTTCGATAGAAATTCTGAGTGCTAATTTTGAGCAGCAGCTAACGTTGAAGTCGCCCACGCCGCATCATCGTCGAAGGCTACAAAGTTCCCTTATGGGTAAGTTATGGTAAATTAGGCAAGAAAATCAAAGTTAGTGCTAATCATTTTCAAGTGCAAGTTGCAGAGCGGGGTCTTGCGCATTATGATGTTAGTAAATTATGTTCAAATGTATCTTATAATCATTTGGATGAGTCTTATAATTTTATGTTCAAATATATATATATATATATATATATATATATATATATATAGGGGCAGGATATTCTTACACTGGTGTAAGAGTTAGAAGTCTTACACTCAATCTTAATCATTGATCCACTTGTATCCAATGGCTCAGATTACTAAAAATTTAGAGCCCTTAGATATAAGTGTAATCAATGGTCAAGATTGAAAGTGTAACTTACACTGGTGTAAAATGATCATAACCCATATATATATATATATATATATATATATATATATATATATATATAAAAGATGAGTGTTATATTGAATTTTTTTTTGTTACGAATTTATAAACTACATTATGTTTTACTGGTAAGATTTCACTAAAGAGTATCTTATCGGTAAGACATAATGTAGCTTGTAAATATAATTTTCTCCTATATATAATCTGGTATAGTTCCATTTAAATTATTGGTCACCGTCCTCGATTCTAGAAATATATAAAGAATAGTAGGAAAAGGCAAAAAAAAAAATATTTTGAATAAAATTTTCTTTTTATAGTTGTGATTAATTATTTGAAGTTAGTATTTAATTTAAAAGCTTTGTAATCGCAGAAAAATTTATATTGTTATAAATTTTTAGGGGTATATTAGATTAGGATTTTAAAAGATAATTTCGAGATAAATTTTTTTATAGATTTTAAAAGACTATTTAGAATTATAATGACTTTAAAGTTTTTTTAAAAGACTTTTTTTACAATCAAGATTTTATAAGATTGTATTTTAAAGAATTTTAAAAAATTTTATAAGATTTGAAAGAATAATATGAATTTATAAGATTTTTAAAAACTATGAATTTCTAACAAACATTCATAGGTGATTCTTAAGAAGAATAATCAAATCAAAAATTTATGGGCATTACTTTTCTGTAGCTATGACAGAGAAGTAATGCCTGCCATATATATTCATTTTTAAAAAATGGTAGGACCCACCAATGTAAGCTAAAAAAAAGGCATTTGGCTATGCATTCTTAGGAATACACTATTCGTGGCAGCAAACTCTTTCTATAGTAAAAGCATAAATAAATTTCTAAAAATTTATATGCATAAAATTCATTTGATTTTTTTGATACCTTTGCATGCTATTGGTGTGATGGAGCATGTTATTCACATTTAAAATTTTTTATTTCATTTTCATCAATATTTTTAAAAAACGGATATTAAAATTGTTATATGAAAATATTTATAGTAAATGCAAATGTGTTTATCTCAATTTAACAGATCATAAAGTGAAAAGCTGACATATGTATTGTGCAATGGACATTATTCTTCTGTTTATTATCTTGTCAAATAGTAACTTGTATTCATTATGGTATAAGAACGCTGAACATTGTTGAGTAAATGCTCTTTTAACTTAGTGACAAAAGCAGGTTATGCAATAGCAACAACTATTTTCTTTTTATTCAACAAATGAATATTAAATTTTATCTCTCATTGTGTGCTTAATATGGTGCATAAAAAGTCTTGATAAATTTTGATCGACAATATATTGTTTATTAAACATGTTTATATCAAAGATGAAATAAATCAAAGATTATATCAAAGATTTATCGTCAACATATTAAAATGCTATGATTATATCAAAGATAAAATAAAATGTAAAACACATAATTAGATACGACAAACACAATCATAAATCATCAATTAATCGTGAGGAGGAATAGGATAAGGAGCAGAGTTTTAGAAAAACCCGGACCGATTTTAAAAAAAGCTGAAGACCATTCAGATTATTGTTTACCCAGACGCTAATTCAAGCCAAGCAACACTTTACCATATGTTTGTCCTGAAGGTTTATAAACTGATTTCCTTTTCATTTCTTGGTCGAATTGGAACACTTCCCATGGTCATAGACACCATGCTCATCATAAGTAATTAAAATCGCCATCTCCTTGCACGGAGGACTCTTCCTCAAAATCTCATAAACCTCCTTCAAAAACCTCTGCCCATCCCGATGTTATACGAAGGGTGGTCGTCGTATAGTATCCTAGTTTCTCAATATGAAATCCTAACCATTTAGAGTTCTGAAACCTAATCACACGAGGGTTCTTAAGTTACTCTCAATTTCAAATTTTTTTTTTTGCTGGTATCCCAATTTCCTAACACAAGAACTGGTATCCATGTTTCGAAGTATATACCTTCAAAAATGTCAAGAAGAAAATTACGTGATTTGCCTCGGTGCTTCTTTTTCTCGAGCATATAGATAATCTAAATTCCTATGGAGAGATATTAATTTGACAAAAGATGAATGTATGAATGTTCTTGAGAAAGCTTTTGTTTTCAATTGATGCGCAAAAATGAATCTTAATCTTGAAAATATAATTCTCTCTTTTCTCTTTTGTGTATTCTTCTATTGTGAATAGTGTAATTTCTCCACTCTTGAATAATATGCCCTATTTATAATAATAACATTTTCTCTCTCCTAAAAGCTCAAAAGATATAAATTTGAAATATAAATCTTTTTCAAAAACTAACCAGAAATCTTTTACCCTTAAATGAAATTTTAAATTCAATTTCAAAAATAAAATTTCTGATTTTTTCAAATAAAAAATATGTTAGCTTAAATATCTTATTTTATTATGCAATGCAATTCTAATCTAAATTTTTGGTAAATAATATTTTATTTCTCTTACGTGAAATCTAAAAAGAAAAAATCTATCTTAAATTTTACTTGATTTCATGTTTTTCTCTCTTTACATGATACTATTATATATTCTCTACTCTTCATGCAATCTTCAATTATCTTGAATACTATTTTAAATCACTTACGTGAAATCTAAAAAGAAAAAATCTATCTTAAATTTTACTTGATTTCATGTTTTTCTCTCTTTACATGATATCTATTATATATTCTCTACTCTTCATGTAATCTTCGATTATCTTGAATACTATTTTAAATCAAAATAAATACTATCCTGAAATCTTAAACAATCAACTCATTAGTAATCTCAATACAATAAATTATTATCGATTAAATTAACATTAAATTAATTATTATCATCAAAACATATTTTAAATCAATTAAATAATTGGAGTATAATAAATATCCAACAAACAAAACCTTAACACATTTAGGGGGTGTATTGGATTAGGATTTCAAGAAATTTTAATGGATTATTTTCGGACAAATAAATTCGTTGGTATTCGATTATGATTTTAATGGATTGAAAAAAAGTCATGTGGTTTTTGATTAGGATTTTAATGGATTATTTTAGAATCCGTCCAAATCTGTTGGTATTCAATCAAGATTTTAAACCATGGAATCACAATATCGTGGTATTTAAAAATCCGACGATTTTAATGGATTTCCTATTGGTGTGGATTTCGTGAGACTTTTTAGTAAAAAATATAAATAAGATGTCTCTCTCACTATTGCACTGATTTCTTCTTCTTTTGACACGTTGACGGCTCGAAATTGGGTTTTACCATGGGAGCTTCATCAAAACTAAAAAAAAACATATTTTTAAGCGATTCTTATCACAAAACAACCAAGAAAAAACAAACCTACGATATTTTAATATAATCTATCTAAAAACCAACATATTTTTGAGCCATTTTTTAGAAATTTTGAAAGTTTAAAAAGTGATTTTTCAAGCTATGGATCGCGATTTTTCTTCGTAGAAAAACATGTGATTTTTATATTTAATTGATACTTTTTTATCATTTTAATCGTTTTGCCTTATAATAAGAGAGACCCACTTGAATATTATGCATTAGTGAACGTTCAAGTTAAGGAACGTTTTCCCGGCAACGCTCAAAAACCCTAATTCCCCATTCGAGGGGGTTTCTTTACTCTGATTCTTTCTCTCTCTTCTCACTCCAATCATTTCTAACAGAAACATTCGATTAAATTGATAGATTCTTCAGTGTGTGGGTTTGAGGTGGTTCAATGGAGAGGAGGAAGGAGGGCAGTGATGATGATTACACTTCAGAGGAGGAAGGTAGTGAGGATTATAGGCGTGGAGGGTACCATGCTGTTCGTGTTGGAGACACTTTCAAGAATGGCTGCTATGTCGTGCAGTCCAAGCTCGGTTGGGGTCATTTTTCCACTGTCTGGCTTGCTTGGGACACTCTCAAATCGGTGCGTTCATTTTCTCAAAAAAAAATTCAATGCTTTTGAACCTAACAATTTTTTAATATACCTTGTTGCTCTTTATAATTTGCTAGATTATGTAACATGGATATTGGATTTCTCTTCATAATGAATGTCATTTGAGTTTTGTTTTATATTTTGAGTTGACATGTTTATAGTAATAATTACAAAAATCTGATCTCATTTTCATAGGATTTCACAAATCCTTGAAAATAGGGAAAAAAAAATGAAAATGATGTTACTTTTTTTGTAATTATCAGCAAAAAAAATTAATTGAAAATAAAAACTTAAACAAACCAAACATCCATATCACACTTGACATTTATTTTTAAATTTGGAACTCCGAAATCTCTTAATGATTTGGTATTTTTTTTTATTTTTTTTTTGGTAGCGTTATGTAGCCCTTAAAATTCAAAAGAGTGCTCAGCATTACACTGAAGCGGCAATGGATGAAATAAAGATTCTCAAACAAATTGCAGAGGGGGACCCTGATGACAAGAAATGTGTTGTGAAGCTTTTGGATCACTTTAAGCATTCAGGGCCTAATGGTCAGCATGTGTGTATGGTTTTTGAATTCCTGGGTGACAATCTTCTCACCCTTATTAAATATAATGACTATCGTGGGATTCCTCTCCCCATGGTTAAAGAAATCTGTTTACATATTTTGGTGGGCTTGGATTACTTGCATCGTGAGCTTTCTATCATACACACTGATTTGAAGCCAGAGAATGTGTTGCTTCTGTCACTGATAGATACATCTAAGGATCCTAGGAAATCAGGTGCTCCACTTATCCTTCCAAACACCAACGATAAGTCTGTGTCCAATAATGGGACCACTCAAGACAATAAAACTTTGAATGGAGATCTGACCAAGAACCAGAAAAAGAAAATGCGGAGAAAGGCTAAGAAGGCAGCTCAGGGCTGTACTGGGAAGGAAAGTTCAGAGGAAGCTGAGGAGGATTATAAAGAACCCGAGCAAGAAGGTTGTAGTAATGGTGTGAAATCAAGTGTAGAATCAGTTGAAGATAAACCTGGTAGTTCTTTGAGTAAAGATGAATCAACAAAGACTTTTGAAAATGATGTTTCACAAGGAAGTCATGGTCATAGGAGAGGTAGCCGTTCCATGAGGAAGAAGTTGCTTGCATCTGTTGATCTTAAGTGCAAGCTGGTTGATTTTGGTAATGCTTGTTGGACTTATAAACAATTCACAAATGATATTCAGACAAGGCAATATAGGTGTCCTGAAGTTCTTCTTGGATCTAAGTACTCAACTCCTGCTGACCTTTGGTCCTTTGCTTGCATTTGCTTTGAGCTTGCCACTGGCGATGTTCTTTTTGATCCTCACAGTGGTGACAAATATGATAGGGATGAGGTAAGTGAGCTCGTTTTGTACTAAAAAAAAAATGCTGGTTGGCTTTATTTTGTGCTTTCATTTCATCATTCTATGCTTGCAATTAAATTTTAATTTTCTTTTTGGGGCTTTGAAAACTGGTTTGCTGTTGAGTGTTTTCTGAACGGAGTAGAAATTCTTTTGTCCTTAACTTTTTGTTAGGTTTCTATACAATCCAATGTTGTATGTAACATCCCCGTCTCGAGCCGGTTCAATTAACATACATATGATAAAACAGAAAACAGCGGAAGACTTAACTTACGAAAATATGAGCTAACTTTTTCTTTTTCTAACTTAATTCTTTCTCGGCGTAAACGAAAATCGGGCAGAGTTTCCTCTATAAATCGGACAACTGGGGATTTTCCAATCCCACTCAGAAGCATTTCCTGATAAACAGTTTATACAACATATCAATTCGGAAATACCAGATATCCAAATATAATCGAATACCCATACATGGGCGCATGCATAACATGGCTCCGTGCCACTAAATCTAACAGCATGCCATCAAAACATAAACCTATCTGAATACTACATCATCATATAACGTTCCTGAATACTCAAATGTACATGCATCAAACTGACAGACATGTACAAAACATATACAGGCCATATACAAAATAAAGGATCAATATCATGATCCATCAAATGCGAAAATACTAAAATACATCAAACACTCCAAAAAGGTAGCAGCCTACAGCCACTCAAAATCCGGTCTGTCAACTGCCTCAGCCACGTGTCGTGTCCCTGCCTAGTGAGGACTCACCGGAAATCTGGGCACCTGAAAATGTGTCCCCAAAGAGGGGTGAGATTACAAATCTCAATAAGCTCCAGGTTTATAGAGAATTCTCCATACCCCTGGCTCACTCCTGCATGAAAGTCAGATACAGAGTATACAAATACAACATATAACAGATATCATAACAGAACAAAGCATATATCCATATCATATCAGAGATGTGCGCCGTCATTCCCAAGGGAGGACCCCAAGCGGAAATCAACGCACGTGTTCCCGATGGAGGACCCCAAAGCGGAACCAGACATATCAGAGGAGTACACCATCAGTCCCGAGGGAGGACCCCAAAGCGGACGTCCGGGTACTATACAATCAATGGCCAGAGATTGTTACAGAAATCAAATTACAGAAGTCACATCAGAGCAAAACATATCATGTTATCAAATAACTCTATATGAATGCATCTATACAAAGCATCTAAATCACAGTCATACAGTCCAACCATAGTTCACTAACCATGGTGGAGCACTCAAGCAGGAAAAGACTCCTTAAACATAGAGCTTACCTCTTGAAGCTTTACCAATACGCTTACTTGTGGAACAAGTTACTTTTATCGCTTCAAGAGATTTCCGATCCTTCTCAATCCCTAGGCACACCTAGAGAATAATTTACAATGCATCAATAAAATGATGCAATACCATAATTATTTCATAAGCATACATTTTATCGCTTATTTTCCTTTCTTTGCATTTTTGCCAATCCTATGCCAATACACAAGTCTAGACCTCTTTATAACCGTTGGTGTTCTTTAATTTAATCAACCATTCCCTTAGGAATTTTCAACATAAATCATGCTATTTTTCTTCAAAACTCATCACCTTTATACAATTTATTACAACACATTTTATTTAAAATAAAATGTACAAAATATGTCCCTAAATACCCTATAGGTCGACTCCTTTAAGGGAATTTCCAAGGATCCTTCTCTTTTACAATACATTTTCCTCACTTAATTTAACAACTACACGTACATAAATATATAATATATACCAAGTTCCTATTTAATTTTTTTGGGAATCTCAAGCTCTTTAAATCCTTCAAGGCCGAAACATCAAGGGTATGTTTCAAAGGATTTTCTTTCAAATTTAACATTCTTACTAACTCATCAAATTTTCTCTTATTCAAGCACATTAAACCTTCCCAATACATACAATAAATCTTTGTGCATCATCCCTAATTACCCTATCAAGGCCGAAATCTAGGGTATGTCACCATGGGATTTTTTTCCAATTTTTATACATGTTCATATGCTTATTCCATATTCCTATATCCAACACATCATCAATCCATCATCAATTCAAATTTTAAACTAATTTATTTCACACCAACACATGCTCACAATTTCTATGACACAAACCATCAAAATAACATCATGGAAACAAAGGTTTCTTACCATTAATCAACTTCCCAAAGCCTAGAAAGCAACCTCCAAGCCAAGCTCCATCAAAAACTCACTTTTTCCACCTTGGATGAATAGTGCACGAAAATGGGGTGATGGATATCTCCCTCCACAAACGAAATCAGCTCAAATGGAGGGGTGGAATAGCTTCCTTGGATGATTTCCTATGAGATTGGTATAATGGGTCAAAGATTTGGTTGCTTAATCATGGAGAAATCAAAGAAAAATCAAAACAAGCCCTAAGCTCTATTCTCCATGGCTGTCACGGTTTGGGAGGGAAGAGGGAGAGAGAGAGTGTGAGAAAAAGTGGTGACTTTGAGTCACTTAATGTACTTTTTAGCCTATGTGGCTTTACCAGATGTTTTTCCTACGCATATTTTTACTTAAACTGACCCGAAATTAACTTAAAGCTACGGACATATTTTTATTTTTCTAAAATCATTTACATTACTTTTTATTTCTTACAAAACAATATTCATAATTCACAGTATGGTTTTTGCACCGTTTTTGACGAAATGCACTGTGCATCACTAATTGTACTTCCTTTACTTACGAAACTTAAAACTTATAAACTTATCATTTTCTTGGGCCTATATTGACTTGCTTGGCATATATTGGACTTTCTTATTCTTATTTCATCAATTATTTATTTCTGGACTCTACCGGTTGCTTAAACAGCAGTACAAAATACCCGGTAGAAACACTATTCACGAGATTTTCACGGAAAGTGCCAGATTATACAATTTTTCGTTCTGAACTCATATTTGTCGTCAGAATTATCAAATTATGTCTCTAAAATTATTTTGCTCTTTTAAGCTCTACCGGTTAATTCACAAAACTGTAAATTCTCCGGCAGAACGCACTGTTCATAACATAGTCATGATTACAGTCAAAATACTCGGAATCACTCACTGAATATAATTATGGCATTTAAATCCTTAAATTAAATCTCTAATTAAGATTTACCATTTAGGGTCATTATATTCACCCACCTTTTAAGGATTTTGCCCACAAAATCAAATACGAAATATCACACATACCTGACGTCAAACTCAGGATACTGCTGGAGAATTTCATTCTCCCGCTCCCAAGTGGCGTCCTCAGGAGTCAATCCTTCCCATTGTACCTTGATCATGGGAATAGTCCTGTTTCTCAACACTTTTTCATCACGTGCTAGAACCTTCAACGGTCCTACAACAAACTTCAAATCTTTCCTTACTTCAATATCGTCCCGCTGAACAATGTGGGACGCATCCGGCACGTATTTTCGAAGTTGGCTGATGTGAAAAACACTATGCAGATTTGACAGATGTGGAGGTAAGGCAAGCTGGTATGCCACAGGTCCGACCCTCTTTATAATCTGGTAGGGCCCAATGAACCTAGGACTCAACTTCCTCACTCCTAGAGCACGCGCAACACCCGTAGTCGGAGACAAACGGATAAATACATGATCCCCTTCTGAAAATTCAAGGGGTCTATGCTTTGCATCATAATAACTCTTTTGGCGACTCTGTGCTTTCTTCAATCGATCCTTAATCATCATAATTTGATCGGTAGTCTCTTGGACCATATCAGGCCCAAATAACTGCCTCTCTCCAATTTCTGACCAACAAGTAGGCGCCCTGCACCTACGGCCATACAAAGCTTCATACGGAGCCATGCCCAAACTGGCATGATAACTATTATTGTAGGAAAATTCCACTAGAGGAAGATATTTATCCCATGCATTTCCCTGCTCTAAGGCACAAGCCCTCAACATGTCCTCCAGGGTCTGAATAGTCCTCTCAGTCTGACCATCAGTCTGGGGATGATAAGCCGTGCTCAGCCTCAACTGTGTACCGAAGGCCTGTTGCACTGCATCCCAGAGTCTAGAAGTAAATTTAGGGTCCCGATCACTAATGATACTTTCAGGAACACCATGAAGTTTCACAATCTCTCTTACATATATCCGAGCCAACTGCTCTGTGGAGAAACTCGTTTTAACTGGTATGAAATGTGCAGACTTTGTCAATCTGTCAACAACTACCCAGATGGAATCAAAACCAGCCTGAGTTCTCGGTAATGCTACTACAAAATCCATAGAAATACTGACCCATTTCCATTCCGGAATATCCAAGGGCTGCAGTAATCCAGAAGGTCTCTGATGCTCAATCTTAACTTTCTGACATGTCAAACACTTACTCACAAATAGAGCAATGTCTTTCTTCATTCCCGACCACCAGAAATTCCGTTTCAAGTCTTGGTACATCTTGGTAGCACCAGGATGGATAGTGTACTTACCCATGTGACCCTCAGTTAATACCTCATCTACCATCTGACCTTTTGGAACAATGATTCGATCCTTGTAAAACTTAAGACCGAACCTATCAGTGGACACAAAGTCCTGCTCTTCATAGACTGAATCTCTTCATCAAGCAATTGAGCTTCTTTAATCCGCTCAACTAATGCATTCAGGACTACCGTAGTAGTCAATAAATGCGGACTATCTTCTGTATTCACAGGAATGTGGAGATCCCTGAATTTCTCAATCAAATTATACTCGGAAATCATCAAATTGGCCATACCAAGCGTCTTTCTGCTTAAAGCATCAGCTACTACATTGGCTTTACCAGGGTGATATTGCAATTCAAAATCATAATCCTTCAGAAATTCCACCCATCGGCGTTGCCTCATATTTAGCTCCTTCTGATCAAACAGATACTTTAGACTTTTGTGGTCACTGTAGACAATAAAATCGGCCCCGTATAGAAAGTGTCGCCAAATTTTCAATGCGAACACTACGGCTGCCAACTCAAGATCATGTGTCGGATA